ACTTCAAAACACGTACAAAACACAACAGAAGTGCTCCAGGATGCTAGGGGGCAGTGTTGAGCTTTTGCTACCTCGTGGCTACACAAGCTAGCAAGTACCAACGACCAGATTTGGTGTGTGGTAGTAACAGGTAAATGAATTTTTTTTTCTTTAAATTATTTGAATATATATGAGTGCTTGTGTATAAATACACAAACAATACACACATGCTTTCAACTGTGTAATTTCAGTGATCTAGGTAGCTGTTTTGAAGTTCAGTTAACGCTAGAAATGTGTTTTGGAGTTTGTACGTGTTTTGTCTCTACGGGCCACCGTATATATTGATATATAAACATATATAAATAAAACCACTTTCTTTTACATTAGTAATTCCTTTTGTTTATAATTTTATATTGTTGTTAATAATAAATTAATTAAAGCAACAAAACAACCTGAAGAGCCGTTTGGGAGCCGAAAATCCCATCACTACTGCAAAAGATGACAACATAAGAACTCCAATCTGAAGTTAAGTTCCTGAATAATCTGTGGAATTTAGCATCATTCCACAGATTATTCAGGAATGTCTGATCCTAAAATTTGAATTCAAATAAATGTTGTAGTCTTAGCTAAGAAACTCTCCTGTGATGTGCAAATACAACACAGGCCACTTGAGCCTAACGTTAGCTTAAATAATGTTAGCTTTTAGCCAGCTCCTCGAGTCAGGAGGCCAAGCTTCCCACGTCTAATCTGCTGACGAGAAGTAACCGCGATCATGTTTATGCAGGTTTTTGTGTGTCAGAGACCTGAGTCAGAGATGAGAAGGAAGAGGACGTCACTTTATCCACATGCTGGTCATGTTGTGACCACTGCAGTTTCCCTTCTTTGGTGAAGAAGACTGGCCACTATATTCAGGATGGTGATGCAGCATGGTAGCTTCCACAGACCTCTGCCAGCTCCTCTGTGTTTTTGATGGAAGTTTTTGAGAACACATCAGTTTGTTGGAAAATGTGGTTACACAGTAACCAGTGTATATTTATTAGTACAACATTATTTTTCACCTATTAAATAACCTCAAAGAAACAAAAGAATCTACGGCGTTCTTACTAATGTAATGCTGTGACAGCATTCACAGTCAGAGTCAGAAAAAAGAGCAAACAGTAGTGGAGCCAAAGTCACCTGCTGAGTTCTTCCAGGTAAAAGATACCTGTGTGTGTGCAGCTGGCAACACGTCAGTCTGTGGGTTAGACAGACGCCTGCAGGCAGCCAGAAACTGGAAGTCCGAGCAGGACGAGGAGGCTCCTGGATTACAGTCTCACACACTCGTTTGACTTCAAATGTCTTACTGTTTCAATAAAAACAAATTCTATTATACATTTTATAATGATATCATGTTATTGACTGTGAGCAATAGCATCTGTTTCATATGATTATATTTTAAATCTCCCGTTTTTGAAATCAGTCACAAATACAGATTAAGACAGAGTTGAGACGTTAACCAACACATGAAAAACATGTTGAGCTGAGCTGAAACAGATGTTAGACTGATGTGGTGCAGAGGTGGTCGTGGTTACTCACCCCATCGTCCACAGTCGCCTGGATGACCTCTGTGTTGAGTCAAACTGCTTTCATATCCGTCGAACATTTCACGGACTTCCTAAATACAAACTTTGATATTAACACAACCACCACCTTAACCAGCTCTACTCTGAGTTGTGCTTCTCTGGTACTCTGCAGACCTTCTTGTCAAACACCTCTATATCTGCTTGGTTGGCCAGCAGGTGCTCGTCTGTCTGGAGCTCAGAGTCCCACAGGACCTCATCCCTGCTGTTCTCGAACACTGTCAGCGGTGTCTCCCAGCAGGAATGGGGGACGTCTAATCCATATGCAGCAGAGATGTTCCTGCACACTGTCCCAGCAGGAAATAGAGTTTCTAAAATCCAGCATCTCAAGTATGGCAAGTAGGAAGAATGTTAATGGAAGAGGTTTTTTGAATGGTATTACTGGAGAAAAACAAAAGAAGGCCGCCGGTGTCGTGGCTGTCAGTCAGTTTGCACTGACACACCTGTCACGTGTACAGATGTGCAAACAGCCTCGTTTAAATCAAAGTATTAGGACAAATAGCTTTTTATGTGTGAGTATAAGTACACTCGTTGTGACACATCTCAGCACTTTCATCATAAAGACTTCATGGACGGTTGAGGTGAAGCACTCGTTTATTTACTGTAAATATAGAACTGTCTGTTTGATTGATAATTAAAGGATTTGGACAATTTGGCTGGATAAAAAAAACATGGGAAGCAAAGCGACGCTGAAAGTCCTTCATAAAGAATATGGACCGAACGTGTGTGACGCAGAAATCATCTCTGCTGCATTTGAAGTGAGAGAAGAAGAGCTAATCTGCACAAATCATCTCTCTGAACATATTGGTAACATTTTAGTTTGTATCAGGGGTCTCAAACGCGCGGCCCGCATCACCCCTACATTGATGTGAAATCTAATGCTGTTAGGGAGGATTTGTTTGTTGTTGCAATGTTGAAATGAGCAGAGAGCACAAACATGCTGAGGCTGGTAGCTCAGTGACAGACTCACAAACTCATGTGTCACTTGCATTTGTATGTTGTTAAAGACGAACACAATGACAGCAGCAGTGCTGCCACGTGTGTGACAGACAGAGAGGAGATGCAGATCAAATCTGCGTTCATGTTTGTCGTTTTGTCTTGTTATAAAGTATTTGAAATTTTAGAAAACAAAGACAACATTTTCAGAAATATTTGTGGGAGTTTTCTTGTTTGTTTTGTACTACATGAACACTAAAGTGTCCCTCAGCTCATTTCAGTTTGAGACCCCTGCTCTGTACAGACCAGCATTCAGACATCGTCGGTTTGTGTGATTGCTAATAACTGTACGGGGCGCTGAACCCACACACCTGCATTTACCTCTAAATTTGTGATTTAAATGATTGAAATGTTTCATTTTCTGATACAAAACTCGTCTTTGTTCATTTTCAAACATCCATATAACATATTGTTGCAAAGCTGCAGTAACATCTATCTTAGTGAATGTCGTAATAACAGGAGGATCATTCGTAAGCAGCCTTTTTCCTGTTTCTCGGTCTGGAAGTGTGAGGTGCAGTTTGAGTTCAGTCACAGTGCAGAGAGGTGCAGGAGGCAGGGCGCTGTGAATATTACCTGTGCTGTTAGCACAGTGACGCAGTCACACATCACACACACTTTGTGCTGAGGGGACGTCGGGCTGAAGCCCACTCAGTGCCTGAAGGAAAGCTTTCCGGTGCTCGCCGTGTGTGCAGTGCAGCATTGCAGGCAGTAGCTGGTTAAAATGGTGCTTTCCTCAGAAGTGTATTGACTTTACTGGTGGTGGTGGGGGGAGGAGGGGGGAGGCTGGGGAAAGTTGGTGGGGGAAATGTGCTGAGGCAGGCTACAACATCTAGCCCCGCCCACCCTCACACACTCTCTGCTGCTCTGCCTGTCTTTCCCAGTCTAACACACACAAACACGCACACACACACACACGCACACACACACACACACACACACACACACACA